CCCAGCAGCCCAGGAGCACCAGGAGCAAATCCGCAGCCGCGGCGGGGTCCCCGCGCTTCTGAGGCTTTGCCAGAGCCATGCCTCAGAAGCGGGGGACCCCGCCGCTGCTGCGGGTTTGCTCCCAATGCCCCTGGTCTGCTGGAGACGGTCCCCAGCAGACCAGGGGCACCGGGAGCAGCTTTTCTCGCCCCAGAGCTCGAGGTGGCTGACTGCTGCCTGTGAGCTCTGGGGCGAGAGAGCCCCGTTCGTAAGTGTGGATCCGACGTAAGTCGGATCTGCGTAAGTCGGGGACTGCCTGTAATAAATATCAAAACTTTGAGATTCTTTAATGAGTGCCTGGCCAAGTTAAAATATTCCCCAACAGGTTTTTGTGTGTTACCATGTAACTTTACCATGAAAAAGAAAAAAAATGCTGTTTATAACCATCTTAATTTAAACTAAACAAGCACAGAAACTGTTTCCTTACTTTGTCAAATCTTTTTTAAACTTTGTTTATTTTTCAGTAGTGTATGTTTAACACCAAACTCTAATGTATTTGCTTTTTCTTTTCTTTGTCTCTGCTGCTACCTCATTGCATACTTCTAACTCCAAATGTGGTGTGTGACCCGTCGTGTCAGTTTGAACTCTGGTATTTGTAACTCTCAGGTTCTGTTGGAGTTTCTTTTAAAGAGGGTTGGGTAAAATAATAGCAGGTATCACTTGCTAGGTTCCAGTGTCCCTCTCTAGTAGCTAGTCTGCAGTTGGATTATTGGAATTATTTCTTTGGCTCATATCACACAGGCCTGTGTCTTGGTGCTGAAGATTCCAGATATGGCTGGAATAATTAGTTGATTGCCATCAAACACTATTGTATTTATGTTTAATAAAAGAAAAAATAATGGGTTGCATGAACTCTGCTCTTTATGATGATGATGATGATGAACCAAAATTGTGATTACAAATAGAATTCAAATGTTATTTTTCAATGCTATTCACTTATATTCATAGGGGGATGTTATTATGCAAGAGCAAAGTTAGCATGGCAACTAATGGGGGTTCAAAATGGAAGAAAGGCAGAAAAGCAGTCCACAAAG